AAAAGCCCTAAGATGCCCCTCCTCCTTCTGACCTCGAATACATTAGCGCCGTTTGGAGTGTTTTAGGCCTGAATTAACTGAGACTACTCAAACCATCTTCGTTTACACTCGAAGAACTAGGTACTTCGGAAAAGCGACCTTTTTGAAGAAATATGAGATCAGAACAAAAAAAAACAGATTCTGATTTGATAAGAAGCTCCGGTGGCACCTAATAAATGTGTTCATGTGAAAATCGATGCGAGGAGAAGTATATTTTATTACGTTGGGTAAAAGGTAGCACTCAAAATTCACAGAAATTTACAGACGTGGAGTTCGGTGTGATGTGTGCTCTACTTCCGAGACATTGTTCTAGGCGTCGTTAAGTTGAGGTTGAGAGAACATTCTTTTCACTGACATTGAATATTTCCTGGGAGATCGTACGATATGAATTTGAACCGCTTCACGTTAGGTATTGGTCTCTGAAACACCTTCTCGCACTTCTTTTTTTGCATTTGAAGTACAGGAGTTCCTTCAGTCCCACAAGATTTTTGTTAGAGCTTTCCAATGTTTTTCGTGATCTTTTGTAGTAGTGAACCACCAACCCGGTTGGGCTGTGGGAACGCTCTGTTGCATCGCTGTGCCGCTTCCCAAAAAGGATGAGAGTGCGTTCATACGTTCGTCTGCCCTTTGAGTTTTCAGCAGCGATTCGAGCGTACACCATTGTTCTGAGCGACTGGGAACTGTTGTTTTGAAGAGGTAGATACTTATACTTTCCTAATGGCTCAAAACGCAGTTGTACGTTGAAAATGCAGACGCAAAGTATGAACGCACTCCTAGGCCTGGAGCGCAGACGACGACCAGAGGCACCGGGGAACTCCTGAGAGAAGTCATAATCTTCACTAAGCTTAGGTCTTGGTGCCTTGATTGGGAGAAGAGATTCAGAAGCGCTGCTAGTTTTTCACCACCCCCCCCGCCTCTTAATTACATTAGCGCCTCAATAATCCTTTATCTTTCTTTCGCTGTGGGATGTACTCACTCTCGAGAAGCGATTATTTCCACATTTTCTGTTCCAGAGCTAACAACCTGGGCGGAGGGCATTTAAAGGAGTGCTCGTGGAAAACTGAGATTACCGTCATATGGTGAGCCCACCCACTCCAGAGCTTTCTTCCTCTCCTCATACTTAGACAAAGTCCACATTCGGGAATTATTTGCACAGTCGTGTATCAATCAATTTGTATATCTCCGCTATGGTTACTAGCCCCGATGTCTCTCACGAACAGCAGCGGATAAGGTGAGCATGCCTGATTTGCGAACAGGCACTGTTTACCCGCTTAAAGGCAGTTGGCACGATGATTTGGTGCTCGGCCTAAAATGCTAGTAGGGCGCTATATAGTGGGGGAAATGGCGAAAGAACGGAGTGAAACGGTCAAAATCCTGCGAAGAAAGAGCCTCCGTTCTCAATGTGTTAGAAATCAATTTTGGACGAGTTTCCCGTAGGCATCTTGCCAATAACCGCTACCGAAG